TCTTAAGGTAGCCAAATGCCTCGTCAGCTAACTACTGACGCGCATTTCCCATGAGGTGGGAAGGGACTCTTCGTTGAAGAGATCTCGGTTTCCTGACATTGGCTTATGCCCAGAGGTTTATGCCTCAGGTGCTTCACTATAAGTGCAGTCCACTTGACACGGTGTTCTTGCATGGCTAATAGAGTCAGCTCTCGACTGGATAATGCTACATCCTATCGAGGTGATTTCTATTAGGAAAGATAGCCTCAGGCTTGGCAAGTAGTTGCGAAAAGACATGGTCTTACCATCTCAGCGCCCGCAAGGGTCCAAACTATAAATTTATTCCCGATACGCGGGCGTACTTATTCCATGATCTTATACTTCGATGAAGTATTTGATCAAGCAGTGAAATTATGCCCCAGTGGCATTAGAACATTTGATTAATAATTCATACCCTTGTTCAGAATGTCCGGTACGAACATGAACGTGAGCAAGGGCAAGCAAGCGGCGAATGCTGACGGTGAAAAATTTGTGGAGGTGGATATAGTAGCCTTCATGAATTGCATTCGGCCAAGGTAGGTGAGATCACAATTGATCAATAGCAAAACCTAATAGTTTCTTTTAGGGGGCCTAAGTTCTCTGTGAACCGAAAGCGCATAATCAAGCTTGTCGATGAGGCAGCGGCAAAGGTTGAAAATGAAAATCGACAGTTGAAGAACAAGATTACTCAGTTGGAATCGGAGCTCCGAAAGTTTAAAGCGGAGAAGAAGTCAAAGAAAACTGCTGAAGTGGAGGTCGTTGAAGCTCCCAAAGATTCTGGGAGCGATCTCCCGCGGAAGAAGCGCAAAAGCGATCCTGTTGCTGTTCCGAGTCGTGCGGATTGATTATGTTTTATTGTTCACAATTGTTTATAATTAATCCATGTGAAGTGGTTTTTCGAATAAAGTAATGAGATTTGCGTTCATGTCTTCTATGAAGGGTGTATGCCCTTAGTACCTGGCATTGAATAATGCTCATTTAATTTGTTTGATAAGATCATGGAATAAGTACGACTGCGGAATAAACACCTCTTCTGAGGGCGTGATGGTAAGTTCGCAGCTCAGAACAAGGTTGAGGAAAGGGAATTGTTCCCTAAAGGGGCAACTCTAAGTGCCCTAGGCTTGGACACCGTTTAAAGTGGACCATTTCATTCTATCCAACCTCGTTAAGAGGTCGGTATAGAATAAGAGCCAAAAGGCATGGTTAAAACTAACCTAAATAAAGGATAGCACGCGATTTTATAGTATCATGGGATAGGTACCATAGGATCATGTATACAAGGGGGTCTCAGACCTTCCTTGCATATACCATGGCTGAGCTCCGTGAAGTATATGAAAAAGGGGCAGACATGGACCCCAGGCTTGGACACTATAATAAGTGAACCATAGGATTCAAGCCACCATATAAGGTGGTACAGAATTGTATTGCATCATGGAATAGGTGCGATAGAATTATGAATGTAGGAAAGGCCACGGCCTAATTTCATAGCTGCGGTCATAGACCGCTGTAGATTGGAGACGAGATTCCCAAGGCAAGTATGGTTGACACCATACTGGAAAACAACGAAAGATGGTGCAGGGTTTGAATACCCAGCTGAAGACCATTTAAGTTGCGATTCACAAGATTGGGAAGGCTCCGGCCTGGTCCCATGGTTATGGTCATAGACCGTTGTAGATTGGAGATGAGATTCCCAAGGCAAGTATGGTTGATACCATACTGGAAAACAACGAAAGATGGTGCAGGGTTTGAATACCCAGCTGGAGACCGTTTAAGTTGCGATTCACAAGATTGGGAAGGCTTCGGCCTGGTCCCATGGCGAGTATGGTTGTTACCATACTGGAAAAGAGTGAAAGATGGTGCAAGAGGGTTTGAATACCCAGCTGAAGATAATATTAAGTTGCGATTTACAAGATTGGGAAGGCTTCGGCCTGGTCCCATGGCAAGTATGGTTGTTACCATACTGGAAAACAAGTCTTAGGGATGGACCCTATAGACTGCTTAAACTCGTCCTGGCCTGGCCGTCACTGTAGTGACGGTTGCCAGATCACATAGCTGATTCGAGGCGAGTATAACCTATGGTCATATGTGACCATGGAAGGTTGTCTAACGTCATCAAGGCTGTTGCCTGTGATGACATAGGTATGCATATATGGCATACTATAGACAACTAACCATGGTCTATATGATCAGCGGCACTAGTGTGCTGCGATCTGTTGAGACTATCCCATAGTCGGCACCTTCTTTCACTGTATAGTGGAAAGACGTGTTTTAATCTCGTTGAAACTTGGAGAAAATTCTCTAAGTCCGGGAAGGTCTCGATATAGAATGGAAAGTTCCATAGCATACTAGCATGAAGATGCTAGTGTGTATACCTCTGGAATGGAGAGTTACATGAATTGGGCATTTGAGCAATGCTTAAGAACAACCTTGGAATAGAGAGCAGTGGAATTGCCTACATAAGAAAGGTAGGTGATGGTATATTACACCAAGAGAATGTAAGTGTACTTATCCAAGTCACTTGAAGCATACTAGCATGAAGATGCTAGTGTGTAAACCTCTAGTATGGAGAGTTATATGAAGTAAGCACATTATAGTGTTTACGAACAACCTCAGGAATAGAGAGTGGTGAAACTTGCCTATACTATTGGAAACATAGGGAATGGTGCATAAGACTAAGAGGAAAGGTAAATGCACTAACTTCGAGAGTTACTTGAAGCACACTAGCATAAAGTTACTAGTGTGTATACCTCTGGAAAGGAGAGACATGCAAAATAGAAGCTCAGTATTGAGAATAGTTTCCAATGACTAAGCAGGCTCAAAGTCTTCATAAGTCCTGTAATGACGTTAAGTCTAAGGCAACCTGGAGACTGTTAACAGTGGCCTTGTTCACCGTTAACACGCTAGGAGCAGCTGATCGTTGAAGGAAACCCGCGGATTAGATAGGTCTGAGAATTCAAGAAAGATGGGAGTTCCGCGGAAAACACGCCATCTCAAAGGTGAGAAATGGTAGGTTAGTGGAAAATGTCGGGTGAGACCCCAGTCCATAACACAGCTAGACACACAAGAGGTGTACCTCATGGTTGGCTAGTTTGATCATGAGGATCTGTGGCTATGGATGCATTCTCCACTAGCGAGCTAGGAAGCCAGGGATAGTTAAAGATAGTGAGCCTTTAGAAATAGAGGCACAACGTGAGGCAGACTCAAGGGTCTGCTGGCGGATGTATGAAAGTACAAACGTAATACGAAGGCAGCTGAGTGAGGTGGAGCATTACTGCCTTTAGAGAGAACAGAAATGTCCTCTGAGGGTCAAACAGGTGTATGAGGGATGGTTCACCTGTACCCCATGATGAAAGGACGGGTCGAAAAGGGGATTACTGCTCTGTACCCTGTCTCCCAGGAAACTGAGGACGGCCCATCTAAGTAACATTTAGGGGGTTAAGATTGCATACCTCCTCGTGGTGCCCCCGGGCAACGTAATCATGCGGCTAAATGCAATTTGCGCACAGAATGTCTTCGAAAAGCGCCGGTCGGCGATCGCCCCTAACGGGCGTTCCCCGTCCGTTGAGCCCGCACTCGACGATTGTCGTCGATAGGGCCTCCCAACTGCCCTCTTTAGGGCAAACCAGCCCTGATGTTGGGGTTGCTACTCCCAACGAGCCCAACGCTCTAGAACCGGTAGCAGCCCCTCGCAGGGTCAGCCTGTGGACAACACAGGAGCTGAACAAGCTTGCGGACCTGGTCGAAAGACACAGAGATGCAAGCGGCCGCATCCGATGGCGAAACCTGGCTCCGGCCTGGGAACGCCTGAGGAGCGACAATGAGCCACCAAGGACTACTGCAGCCCTTAGAGCGGCCTATGCTAAGCTTGCCCGGAATACTGGGCATGCAGTCAGAAACGATGCCATGTCGGCTCAGAGAGCTGCTGAAGCATCGGAGGAAGGCATTAGCCAACCCCAAGAAGACCGGAATGGTCAAGAGCCAGTAAGCACGATTAATGCTGGAAGCGGGTTGATACCCGGAACCAGCAATGTGATTCTGGCAGATACCCCCGAAGAAATCGGGAGTGGAAATACGAACCTTGAAACTGAAATCAGAACAAGGTTCCGTAAATATTACCGAATAGCGATCCGTACACAGGATCGACAACCTATAAGAAGACCGAAGGGAGAAATACCTAAAGTCTTCATACAGGTTGCAAATGGGGTCCTCTCAGAGGAACTCCAACGAATCTCCTCTCAGAGGAGCTCCAACGAATCAAATCGAAATCGCTGACGTCCTTGAATGCAGCAGTTTATGCAGTCGCGAAAGCAGTGACTACTAAACTGATAGAGGAGAACAGCGAAAGGCTTGCGCCGATGAAAGAGCGCTTCCAAGAAGCAGCTCAGCTTCGGAATACTCTAATAAGCTTCATATCCACTTTGGCTATAGAGCTCCGAAGAAGACGTACAACTGTAGATGGAAGGAGCGGTTCTGGAAGACCCAGCCGCAAATATCTGGAAATCTCAAGATTGTACAGGGTGTCCAAAACGGCAGATGTTCAGAGACTCCTGATTAGATTCAGAGATGAACTGAACATTGTTAAGAAGGACATCAAATTAATGGAAGAGGCTAAGAACCGCTTCCAAGTGAGACGAAGGGGTCCCCCCTTCGTAGCAAGAGAACCCCGAGAAACAGGGAGTAATGTGCCGGTTGACCAAGTACGTGAGTACTGGAAGCCAATTGTAGGCGAGGTTCAACCGTTCAGAGAAACTGTGGAGCTTAGGATTTGGTCCCAAGCCCACAGGCAATCCAATCCAAACCATGTGGACTTGGCCTTAACGGATGAGGACTGGAAAGTCCTATTCTCTAGAATCAAACCATGGAAGGCCACAGGACCAGATGGAATCCAAGGCTTCTGGTGGAAATACCTACCAGAGGCTAAGGAGCGTCTTAAAGAGTGGTGCATCAAAGCACTGCACAGGCGCAGGGAAGTGATACCACGATGGCTCTGTAGAGGCAGAGTGGTATTGATCCCAAAAGGGAAATCAGAGACCCCTGGTCCAGGAGATTTCCGACCAATAGCATGTTTGAATACATGCTATAAGGTCCTCACGGCGATGATTGCGAACCGTATTACCGCCGGCCTCGGAGACCGACTCCCTCGGGAGCAGGTCGCCCTGCGGCGAGGAATATGGGGATGCACTCACGCACACATACTGGATCAAACAGTATGTAGAGATGCTCTTAAAGCATAAGAAGGAGTTACATATGCTGTGGGTGGATATGACCAAAGGCATATGACTCTGTTACAACATGGCGCTATTAATTGGACACTCAAACAATGGGATGTGCCCGAGGCCATCCGAACATTGGTACAAAGAGTAATGTCCAAACAAAGCGTCAGGTACTGTGGCCAACAGAATGGTAAGGCTGTAGTGAGTAAACCTCTTGAGATCAGGAATGGTCTCATGCAAGGTGACACCCTCAGTCCTTTACTGTTTTGCATGGCCATAGCGCCTATCTCCGGTTGGTTGCGCTCAAATATCGAGCCATACAAGACCAGAACTGGTAGTGGTACCAGATCAGAAGGTAGCCTTGAGGTAGGACACATATTTTACATGGACGACCTCAAGGTCTACACTACTAACTGGGCAGACTTGGTGAAAGCCAAGGCTGGCATCCAGAAAGTAGCAGAACAATTGGGATTGAGGATGAATCCAAGCAAATGCGCGGTGAAGTCCGTCAATACCATGGAAAGGGAACAGACTGAAGTCGGAGATATACCGATTCTAGGGTCTAACTCCCTTTATAAATACCTGGGAGCGGAGCAAGGCACTCTTGTCTCTATGAGGCAGCTTTGGAACCGCGTCCGGAAAAACGCTTGGGATACTGCCGTCCGAATTATGAACAGTGACCTGACGGTACGTCAAAAGGTTGCTGGATACAACCAAACGGTGATCCCAAAGCTAAAATACGCAGCGTCATGCGTTATTTTCGGTATGGGACGTCTAGTTTCATTCCGAAAACAAGCACGCGACTTTGACGTACGGATACGAAAGCTGTTAGAAGAATCTCGAATGAGATTTGGATACAGCTGCGTTGCGAGACTGTACGTCAGGAAAGAAGATGGGGGCCTAGGATTAAAGAGTATAGAAGAGGAGGTAGATCACACCATTGTTTACACATGGTGCTACCTCGCCTCTAATCCAGACTTTATAGTCCCCTATCAGCTGGCCGAAAGCCTACGTGCCAGCAGTAAACGGTCACTAACCTCAGACTTCAAGTCCGTCTTAGCAGCCAACGGACTAGAGGATAAAGTG